ACTCACATCAAATTATACAAATATTCAGAATGTCTTACAGTATGGCCTACAGTCAGGGCAGTCCGAAATGACAGATAGTATCTACTGTACATGCCATTTTAATCGATTCAGTATGTTCATTGCAAGAGGAGCAACTACTCTTCTGCATGATGTCACCAACCTCCTTCCATCTGTAGAAGATCATCGGCTAAAAGCCTTTTATCTGGCTGAACTGCTCGAGTCATGGCGACACCATTCAATCTCGGATCCAGAGGCATTGATAATTGAGGCCTTGAACCACTTCAAGTATTTTGAAGATCTTGACTTTGAGTGTATGCTCTCTGTTCAATCTGTATGCAATGAACTGAACAAGTTTCCAGCCAACTTTCACACCAATCTGGGTCCCTACTACCTTCAACACAACCACGACATTTCCACAGCTCTACAGCATGGTCAGATTGCCCTTTCCTTGGCGCAGTCAAATGGAAACCATAAGAGACAATGTGATGCACTTAATACCCTTGGGCAGATTGAGACATATGCTGGTCACCATGCTACTGGTCGAGCACATGCACAGGAGGCACAGAGGCTTGCTAAGATTTGTGGAGACTTATGGAGGGAGGCACGTGGACTCATCCATGAGTCTTTTTGTGGGCTATCATTAGGTGATTACAAACAATGTATCACCCTGGCTATCAGGGGCAGAACAATGCTAGATCTGTGTGGTCTGTCCTCTGCTCAGCTAAACTATACATCTATGGGAATTCAAGCTGAGGTTCACAGGCTGAAATCTGAATATTACGAGGCATATAATATTTGGAATCAAATTCTGCATAGAACAGGTCATGATATCTATGAGCAAGCCAATGCCTTGATTAATGTTGCAGAGCTTGAGGTTTTGATGGGGGTCCCCAGTAGTGAAATTATAAGTAAAATTGATGCCTCACAGAATATTGGCAAAGCACATAATCATGCAATGCTTGTGTCTTTCTGTGTTATTGTGCAGGCTGATCTCAATCTTAGAGATGGCGATACATCGAGCTTAGTGTTCTGCACATGCATCAAATCAGCATGGGGGAAAACTCCCCAAGAGGCAAGCTTTTGTCTTGAGAGACTTGCAGATATCAGTCGCTGGAGATGCCTCCATCCAACCTCCTGGACTGCAGTTTTTCTTGCCCACTCCTTCAAGGCGAAATTTAGACTAGAAGTCCACAAGGCCTTGCAGTTCTTAGGTGATATTTTCTTGAGTGAGAATGATGAAGTAACTGCCAGTTCTCTTTTCATCCTTGCCTTGGAAGGATTCACATCTATGGATGTCCACCGCAGCAGAGCAGAATGCATGATCCGACTTGGTGATCTATCAAAGAAGCATGGTGATTCTTTGAAGGCATTGGAATTCTGGGAAACAGCAAAACCACTCTTTGAGCGCTCATCACAATCCAAGCGGGTTCGGGATATTGATGAAAGGTTGGATGAGGTTGATGAAAATGTCAAGGAGCAGTACAGAAGGAACTTGGCTCAACTCACTGAGCTTGATGCTGGCACAGGGAAGGTGTATGAGTTGTACAAGGAAGAGGCCAGGTTGGTTGCAGCCTGATATTTCGACAATTGTATGTTGTCTGTTATGTATGCTGTTCTGTCCACCCAAATTTAGCAATAATTTTCGGACCCCTGTGCGCTGTGATGCGGACTGCGGTTCTGTGAACTGCCTGACCCGGGGTGGGTATAGTCAAGTAGTGTTTTACAGAATTATGTTCGTCCTCTAGGGGGAAATTGCTCTTTCGCGGAGCTGCGTAGTTTTAAGGTACGCTAATGCGCGATATATAATTTGTGGTGTGTGTGTGTGTACAGTTCTCTCCGTTTGGATTGAACGCTTTGCCAGGTTCCTCGAAGATTTAGTTCTTCGTTGGGGGCTGGCCTTCCGAAGGTACCGCGGATGGATAGTTTTCTACACTTGCTCGAAGGGTACGCTCCGCAATGCGAATGCTGTTCCGTTCCGGAGTACTCGGGTTATCTGTTATGCTTTATCCACCCGTCTCGAACGTATCGGACGGCAGGTCTCTTCAGTACAGTGCAACACTATACGGATGGCTATAGCGATTCCCTTCGTAGCCTGGTTTCTCCGTTTGGTGAACGCCTTGAAACGGAATCACTTCCGTTTCGAAGACTCGGGGGTGAAGTGTGCGAATTGAATGGGGGAAATGGTATGATCGCGTAGGATAGGCCTTCCGTGTACGATGGGGTGGTTTCCTCGCAAGGATATGCGCTCGAACTCCGAAAAGGAACGGTTGCACGAAGCCAAGTTAGGCGACTGGCCGTTTGGTGGTGTGCCGCGTTTATCTACTACCGCGCGCTTTCAACTCCAGATTGACTATATTTCCCCCGTATCGATTTATCAAAACAGAGGTGAGACGGACGGGGTTTCTTGACAAGCCCTGGCCTTCTAGGTGACCTTGGTTTGTCCTACTATTGGGCGGCACGACCCGTAGCGGAGTGTATTTAATTTAGTTCCCCACCCTGGTGTACTTCAGGGGGAGTAGCTTTTAGGTAAATGCAGTGGGAGGTAATAAGATGATCATTCCGTATCTTACAGCTGGCTTTTATACTGTACTCTGTCCGATACTCGCGCGCGTATTTATCCCTTTAATTGGAAACGGACGTTCCACCTTTTCAGTTCTGACTCGCCTCTGTGATCGCCCACGCGTTCCCGATTCCGAAGGGGTTAGAAATTGACTCGGAGCAGCCTCGTGTCGCATCCGTTTCCCGTTTCAGTCACCCCGTTTCCCAAGAACCGCCTCAGTTCTCCGTTTAGTCGCCCCGTTTCCCATAGCGCAACCACTTCGTCTCCGTTTGCCCCCCCATTTCCTTCCCTAGTACCGGCCAGGTGGCGGAACGGCAACGCATGCGAGACAAATAAGAGAGCCTGTAATGTTTCCTCGCAAGGTCTCCGTTCGATTCGGGGTCTGGCCTTGATAAACCATCAAGAAACTTTTGCCTCCGTTTCGTTTTTGAGTGAATGCGCGTCGAGTTTTTGAGTGAACGCATTGAACGGCCAGGTAGCTCTATCAATATTTTCCTGCTTGCTTGTGGGCTTCCTATTGATTCGGAGTCTGATGTTCGGCCAGGTGGCGGAATGGTAACGCGCGCGAGACGAATACACAGACTCCCATAACGTTTCCTCGCAAGGTCTCCGTTCGATTCGGGGTCTGGCCTTGCTGACGCAGAGGATCCTTTTTTGCTTGTGGTCTCGGTGAGTACTCGCGGTCAGATAGTGTAACGGTAACACGCTTGGACTCGATACATTGGGATGGAGCGATTCTCCAAGAGTACCCTGTTCGATTCGGGGTCTGGCCCTGGTGGTGGTGTATCCAATGCTTTTTATTGATACGGAGTCGCTGTCGTGAGTATGATTTTCCTCCCGTTTGGCCGCGTTCAGAGCGCATCACAAAGTGACAGCTCACAGCGCAAGGGGGGATCAACTTTAATTTTTTTATATACAGTCATAAAGTTTTTTTATCTCAAATCCTGACCCCCCCCTCCCCCCCTCCCCGTGGGAAATTGCCTTATATAGCCTCAGGATCAATGATTTTCGCGATTTTTTTCTGCGCAAGCGCCATAGACAGCTCGGCCGCATTAATTCCTGTACTCAGATCCTGCAAAATGAGTGGGTTAATCGAGAACTGTTTTGTGAAAATTTGATGTAACCGTTGATTGTCAGCAAGGATCATGGGAAATTTCCTCTTGTGGCGAGGCTGTACACCTTTGCCATCTAAATCCGGGGGATAATGTATGTCCCCAGATCTCGACAACGACTACACCGTTCACCATAAAACGTTGAAAGTCGAACTCAGCCTTGAAAAACCCTCCAGAATAGACCCGGGGTCCGAAATTTTAAAGTTGATCCCCCCTTGCCTGCGCGGTAAAGTACAGACTAATTACCTCCAGTGCTGGTGGATGCTTTCAAACATCTCCTCTCAGATATTCAGCTCATCATAAACCACCGCAAAATGATGGTGAAATATGATTGTGTAGAAGAGGTGATAATGCACCAGCTGAAATAGACAACCGATCCATGCCACTCTAATTGCAGATTCTACGAAGTGTGAGAGTTGATTACTGTAATGTCATTGATATTTAGTTTCTCTTAGACAGATCGTTCCTCCTAGTCTCTCCTAGACAGACACTTCAACATGCGAGCTCGCTCTGTTGATTAAATTGATATTGCCCTCTGTCAAGGAATGTATTTATCCGTGAGGTGCCCCGGCCTATGGCCCATGCATTAAAGTATCGATAATATGTCAGCTGGTACGACAGTAGGCAGATATAAACTGCACATACTTTTGCCTTGGGAGACTAAGTGGCTGAGAGGTTATGGCAAGGTTATGGACCACTGACTCTGAACATGCCTTTAGCCAAGGGGAACTGGGATTGGATCGGGGCTGGCCAAGTAGACTTGTTACCAGTCTGCGCTATGGCAAAAGAAGTGATGAGGTTATTGCTTATGGCAAACCAACCTCCCCATATTGTTGCCGTAATGCAGACTGGGAGTCTACTGGCCAAGGCCGAAAAAAGTTCTTACAATATGTTATGGAAGGGGAGAAAAAGGCTGGGAGAACCATGGTAAAGCTCCTAGTAGGTGAACAACTTCGAATTCTGCTTCCTACTTGCTTCAGGATGTGCCCAGATAATATTTCCACCCCCAAGTTCAAACAAAAGCTGTCCTCAACAAGCCTCCAAGTGGAGATCGAATAAAATTCTGGAGGTATCTTGAGGCCTTGGCAGCATTACAGATAGGTTTGGGGACCATGGTATATACCTCAAACATTAAAATCAAGTGGTTGTAGGGTCTGAACATCCAGTAAGCAGCGGGAATTCCGGGGAAGCGGCCCGGCGCTAGGGGTGGGAAACAACTTCCCTATACAGGGGAGGGGTAGATCTGGAAATGGATGGAGGCACAATAACCTAGCCTGTGTATCAAATACCGGCAGTTACTCTACATTATGAAGCCAGAGGTCTTATTCGACTCAATGGCGCAACGGTTAATGTGCTTGTAAGTTGTTAAAATGTATTCATCCAAAAGCTGGTACGCAAGTGGTCAGTAAGTGGTCCCGGTTCAACCCCGCGTTGGGTCTTGACTAAGTTTGCCGTATCTTTTCAAACATTTTCCCGACCTCCCTTAGTGCCCAACTACATTGATCTTCACTATCTTGTTTTGCAATTACCGCCGCCCCGCTCGCTACGCATCATCATACACATAAAACCCCCTCCCACTCTTCTTCCCCAGCCACCGCGCGTCGACCATGCGCTCGAGGAGGACGCACGGGCGGTACTTGGAGTCGCGCGTGCCGTCGTAGAGGGTTTGTTGGATGGCGAGGCAGGTGTCGAGGCCGATGCTGTGGTTGTGTGGGGTTTGAGGGCGTGGGCGTGGGCGTGGGCGAACGGGAAGGAGGGCGCGTGGAGTTCAGAATACAGGGAGCGCACGAAGGAGAGGAGGGGAAGGATGATGGCGCGAGTTGCGAGTCGCGGGAGCAAAGGAAAGATAATAGAAAAGAAAATCGTCAGAAATGATCCCATCCCACTCCGGCCCAGTAAAGTGAACGACGCACAAATCAGCCAGCTGCAACGGCCCCATCGGGTGGTTCATCCCCAGCTTGAGCGTGGTGTCGATGTCGTCCCGCGTCGCGGTGCCTTTTTCGAGACACATTATTGCCTACGCGAGTCGGGGGTGTTAGTGAACGAAAGGAAGGAAGGTGAAGCGCGCGCACGCACCTCATTAATGAACGGCATAAGCAGCGCGTTGGACACGAAGCCGGGGACATCTTTAGAGGTGGTCACTTCTGTGAGGCGCGTCAGTTCTTGGCACAGCTCGGGCTTTGTGTAACGAGATATGTCTGCGCTGCGCGCCCATGAAACTACCCGTGGCAGCCGGGGCCTGCGACACATACAGACGACGCGGTCACGCTGAGACCTAACGCTCCCGGCGTGCATAAGTGCAGAGCTGGAGCTACAGAGATGAATGGTCCGTGGCGCGCCCACATGCCGGGCACCGAGCAAGGGGAATGAGAGTCGCGGCACATGCGCACCATGCACCGACTGCACACCAAGTCCAACAAAACGGACGCCAATAAGAGGGAGACGGACGCACCCTTTCCACACGCGCCCGCAAATGCGCGCGCGCGGTCGAGGGTTTCGGGGGTGGTTTGAAGGGCGGAGATGAGCTCGACGAGTTTCTTCTCCATGTGTAAGTCCCAGTCGATATCGGAGCGCGTGGACGCACCATGACGGGTACGGGGTTGAAGAAATGCAGACCAACAACCCTCCCCGCGCTCTTAATCCCCTCCGCACTCGCCGCGCTCACACCCTGCGGAATGGCCGCGGCCGCGATCTTGGTGATGCTAATCGAGGACGTGTTGGACGCGAGGATGGCGTCTGGACGCAGTTCCGCTGCGAAAGAGGCGAAGATAGATTGCTTGAGGGGGAGGGACTCGGACACTGCCTGCACCGCATTGAGTTCGTCGTCAATAAACGCACAAACGCGGACACACCTCGACGACCATATCGACGTCCCGCAGCCCCTTCACGCCTTCCTCCCCAATAACCACCACCCGTCCCCGCGCGTCCTTCGCCTCGCCCTCAGTAATCCTCCCTTTCCCGACGTCCTTGGCGAGCAGCTTGTCCATGAGGGAGAGCCCGGAGCGGATTTGTGCGGGGTCGCGGTCGTGGAGCAGGACACGAGGGATTTTTGCGCGGAGGGCGGCGACGAGGGCGATGCCTGTGCCCATTTGCCCCGCGCCCAGCACACCTAGCGTTTTGATTCCGTGCGCGAGCATTGAGTGCGGTGGTGGAAGGAAGAACGTGAAATTCGGTGACCGGACCGGGTTGGCCGGCGATGAACTAACAAACCGGCGATCACAAGCAGGATTGCCGTGATGTGCCGTCCGGGCCGCCAAATTCAACCGTGGGATCATCAAACTTGTTTTTTGACGGTGCGCGAGGCCACTCAGTGGTTCGAGTGGATGGGGAGCGCTGAGATCCTAGCTTTTCCGTTTTATTTTCCACGCTTTGTATTTGTACAGGGAAGAGGTTTAATTGTAGCTCAGGCTGGCATCATGATTCCGATGGTAGATTCTAAATATTTTCGATGTGCATACCGGCCGTTTGTGTCTCGGTCTGAGTTCCCTGGCGGATGGATGTACGTCACAATGTAGGGCGTCGTCCCTACATACATCTACCTTGTCTCGATTGCACACCATCATTGATGGCTGTGGCGATCAAGTCGATCAACGAGTGTGGCGACCTCTCTTCTTCTCACTGAACATGAATTTGCTCAACCTCCTGCAAACCTCCTGACATTTCCAAGGTATGATTATTATATTTCTGTATCGAGTGCGTTCAGTCCGGCTTTTAGAGCATGATGTCACTAAAGAAGAGCTTCAAGTTGAAATGAACAGACTTTGGAAAGGTATGGTCATCGTGATTGTGTCCTGCATGGCTTGTGCTCAGTCCATTTCATTTGCTGCAGAAAAAGAGCGTGAAATAACTCGACTTGCGGTCGAGTGGAGCAGATTCAAGGTGGAGAATGCGATGAACGACCAACTCGGACAACGATTTGCCTCGCTGGAAGACCTCGAAAAACAAGTTGGCTTGTTGGCGATCCGTGAGCTCGAGCTGCGGCAGCTGCGGAAGAATCGGACAGACTGAGGGTCCACCAGGTTGAAAGCCAGTTGAGGTCCCAGATGTCAATTTTGAGAGACGTTATGGCCGATGATATTCACCGCGAGAATAATAAGAAGCTGCGGAGCATTTGGAAAATCCTGAAGATTTAGCAGAGGGGTGCGTCTCAACATTCCCATTGGAGGCAAACTCACCTTAAGACAAACAATAGGCAATATACCTATCCTGGGAGTGGAAAATATACTCAATTCCTACCAGTCGCACTGCCGCATGTCAGAGTGCTAAGGAAATAGAGGCAATTACTTCAGATTCCGCAGATAGGTCGTAGCGAACTTCTTGACGCAGCCCCTGGAATAAATCAAACAGAACAAAACACACCCCACCAAAGAGTCGTCTTGAAGATCATGCTCATCAAGTTCCGATTTTGAGTTCAAACGCCAACTCATAATACGAAGTAAAAATTTCATTATGCTCCCCCCAGTCTAAGGCCCATAAATAAACGAGGGTGCCCGTTAATCAACGGATTTTAACGAACAGGCGTCGTACCTACTAAATGCGGATGAGAGCGGTTGATCGTTTACACCTGTTGTTACATCACCCTTTCTGATCCTCCGTCGCAAAGCCACCCGCTCCGAAATCGGTGGTTCCCTTGTAGAATCCCTTCACGGCTGCCATTTCACTTTTTCTGGGAACTGCAACTCGCTTGCATTATCTTCGTCGAGGAGTTTGAGAGACGCAAAAAATTATGCCCTGTACTTGCCACTGAACCCGGTTATCGCCAAACTTCTACTTCGGGGTGAATATCAAAACCCCTAGGCAAAGACACCTCTGACCTGAAAGACGGTGGTGCCGATAGGCTCGGCAGAAAATGCAGCTCGTTCCCTGGCCGCAAGGGCTTCTCCGCCCTCACTCTCCTTCTCCTCTCCTCGAGCTGCGTCCCGATCCCCCTCCAGTACCACTCGAACTTGCGCACCCGATCATTCAACAAGTCGTACTTCTTTTGCTCCTCGCCAGCGGACTTTGGGAATTTGGGTACGGAGTCTTTGGCAATCCATATTCGAAGGAGTTGATGCCGAGAGCAGAAAACAAAACCTCAAAAAGTTAGAATCAATCCGCACTTGCCATCAAAAAAAACCTCACTCTGGCTTCGCGAGAGCAAGAGGGAAATGTGTTGAGAGCAAGATTTCGGGTGCCAACAGATGTCTGGACGTCTGTATTATAGCCTTGACCGAACCCAGCTACTCTCGGACATGTCGGGCTTACTTTTCTTGGTCCATCGACGGCGCCAAAACCTGGGTGATTACTTACGGCTCGTTGAACAGGGGTTCCCCTTCTGTGGTCCATGACGTGAACGGTGGTGAAAAAAACAGATCTCACGCTGTCTGCGCAATGCTACTCGCCCGAGATGCCCGACCCGCGACTCCCCTGTCTGGATCCACAGACAAAATTTCACGGTTCATTTCTGCCGGCTTCATACTGTAAGGGAGGCAAGGCACACCAATAATCTTGCTGGGACGGTTTCTTAAACATGCTTACAGCGGACGTGCAGTGTGCCGAATAAATATTCGTCGAATGACATGCGATTCGGAGCGGCCCAAAATCGGATGACGGGCTCCTCGGTCATGTCCCGCCGATCGATTCCCTCTTTAGAATGAGCTGGTTCAACCGCCAGACACACTTTAGCCCCACACCTCACTTACGACTCAACAAACCAATGTCTGCTCTTCCCCACGACGTCGAAAAGGGTTTACCCCGCCTTATCCCAGATCCCGCTGTTTTAATTCCCTCTAATTCACCACAAGAAATGCTACCAGCGTCGTCATCAGTCCCAAAGAGCCTACCCCTCCATAATTTGCCCACAACGAAGCCCGCCACCAGCGACAGCGTTGACTGCCGATTGTGGTTCAACACCTACAGGTAGCTCGGCGTGGTGCTTAAAATCTCGACCCTGACGATGATTTTACAGGAAATTCTTTACGCTCATCGTAACTCTGAACCTCATCGGACTCCTTCTCACTGCGCTCGGTAAATGGGAGTACCCTAGAAGATACACGGGCGCATTCGTTCTGGGGAACCTGCAAGTTGCTATTCTGATGAGGAACGAGCTTTTCGGTCGCTTCTTATATTTGACGGTCAACACCCTATTTGCAAAGGTTCGTCTATTTGAACACGCTTAGGCTGCACGCTCACCTTCTCCAGTGGACACCGCTCTGGTTTCGCTTGGCTTGTACATCGATCCTCCAGGTATTTGTTTTTGAGCTTCAGGTTCCAAAACTTGCTGAGCGTTGCCCAGCATCTCGGAGGGATTCATTCGGGCTGCGCGGTTTCTGGCGCTCTCTGGCTGGTCCTCCGCATTGTCTTGATCATCGCCGAGTGGAAGCATTACCCCGCATCCATAATTTCCGCCGGAGTGGTCACCAATGTTGCGGTGTTCATCTCCATTGCCTCCGCTGTGCGT